CGTCTCTACTAAAAAATACAAAAAACTAGCCGGGCGAGGTGGCGGGCGCCTGTAGTCCCAGCTACTCGGGAGGCTGAGGCAGGAGAATGGCGTAAACCCGGGAGGCGGAGCTTGCAGTGAGCTGAGATCCGGCCACTGCACTCCAGCCTGGGCGACAGAGCGAGACTCTGTCTCAAAAAAAAAAACTTAGACGGCCGTGGTGGCGCACGCCTGTAATCCCAGCTACTCGGGACGCTGAGGCGGGAGAATCACTTGAACCTGGGAGGTGGAGGTTGCAGTGGGCAGAGATCACACCACTTTAGCCTGAACAGAGCCAGACTCCGTCTCCCAAAAAAAAAAAAAAAGCTCAATCAATGGGCTGGGGTGGGTGGGGCAGAGAGGAACTGAAGGGACATATTACATTTAAACGCCACCGTTTCCGAGGGACGCAGATGTGCTTTGGTCCCCCACCTGCATCCCATTCAGTAAACAAAGGTGATACATATTAGTGTGCCTAACTATTGCCCACCAAAACATACAGCAGCACAAACCCATTTTTCTAAGACCTTGTGCCTGACTATTGCAGGAAGCTGGAGGATTAAAAACAGCTGGAGAATAGATGAGCTGATGTTTGGCTCCTAACCTCTAAAACAATGCCAACCCAGCCCCTTCCAGGAGTAATAGCTTGAAAACAATACACCAAACTTAGTTTTTAGCATTCCTGGCAATTCCATTATTAATTCATGGGTCTTCTTCATAAGGGAAGAAACCCCATTTTTGAGGTGAGGCACAGGCCCACGAGCGCAAAATGGCCTGGCCAAGCTGGAGCCAGGTGTGTGTGAGGGCCACTGTGAGGCCCTCTGCCCTGCTCACCCTCTACATCACAGTGCTTCTTCTGTGAGATCCGGCCACTGCACTCCAGCCTGGGCGACAGAGCGAGACCCCGTCTCAAAAAAAAAAAAAAAATAAGTGGACAAAATAACTACAGTAAAATAACATCCATGATTATGGATATAAATATGCAAACAATTAGTCTAGAGTTTAAAAATTCTAAGAATCCTATTATCAGTGCATTTTTACAATAGGAAAGGTTTTAAATCAAAAATTAAACTCAGTATCTTCAGTGGGCGGGCTAAACAGTTTAACATAAAACATCAAGATTTTCTTCATCCTCATGGGTGGAGGGTAAAATCAATGTTTTCAATGATCTTTTTAGAACTGAATCTTCTGTGACCAAAGGACATGCTTCTGCTTCTAGCCCAAGTACTGCCTTGCAGGCTCCAACCACAAATCTCACCGTGGTGGAACCAAAATCCTTACCATGGCCTACAAAACGCTACCATCACCTGACCTTGCTGACATAGCGGGCCTTACCTTTTCCCCCCGCATTCATCACTCGGTAGTAGCAATGGTTCAGTTTCACGATTTGCTTCTTCCTTCCACTGCAGGCTCTTCCCCAGCTGGACTACTCTTCTTCACTGTCTCTTGGACCAAATTAACTCTATTCGGTTCTTTGCTTTCTCCTCAGAGAAAAACTGTTCCTGACTATCCCCTAGATGTTCCTCCCTAGTTCAATCACACAACGTACCTCATTTCTTCAAAGTACTTACAACAATAATTTCATACACTTATTTAGGAAACTGTGTAATTTCGGTCTCCTCTGCTAAAACTTAAGTTCCAAGAAGGCAGAACCAAAGTGTTACTTGATCCCAAAGCCCCAGGACGTAGCACACTGGATGGCACATAGTAGATGCTCTTCAACAGTAGATGTACTTTCAGAATAAATAGCACTCACTAATTATAGCAGGATAATTACTGGCACGAACTCTGGGTCCAAACTGAGTTCAAGTTCCAAGCTGACCCTTACAAGTTTTGAGACTATTTTTCAGCACCTCAGTTTCTTTTTTAAAGTTTATTACTATTTTTGAGACGGAGTCTCGCTCTGTCAGCCAGGCTGGAGCGCAATAGCACGATCTCGGATCACTGCAATCTCTGCCTCCCGGGTTCATGAGATTCTCCTGCCTCAGCCTCCCGAGTAGCTGAGATTACAAGCATGTGCCACCACGTTTGGCTAACTTTTGTATTTTTAGTAGAGACAGGGTTTCATCATGTTGGCCAGGCTGGTCTCGAACTCCTGACCTCAGGGGATCCGCCCGCCTCAGCCCCCTAAAGTGCTGGGATTACAGGCATAAGCCACACCATGCCCGGCTATGTTATTATCTTGGACAATAATGCAGCTATAATGATGACATCAGATATGAGAATGAATTATGTCTCTAAAGAAAATATAGGAAAGCCTATAATTATTTAAACACATTAAATAGTAGCTCGTAGTAGAGTTAGTGACAGAAGGACAGCTAGCAAACACCAGCTCTCTCAACTACTCTATTCATTAACTTTTAGTCTGTCTCACTCATACCTAACCCTTCTTTAAGATTTCTCCACAAGGGCTTCAGGGGTTCTCTTCTATTAGCTGCTGCTTCTCTAATCAGGGTAAAAATCTAAAGCCTCCAACGAGGTTTGCCAGGGGGTACAAAATCTGGCCTAGACTCTCCAGGCATTTCCCGAAACCCACCACTACTCCCCATACCCCAGGCGCAATAAATTATGAAACACAAAATCAAAGCAAAGCCAGGCCATTTATTAGCCTTCTTCCTCAAAGCAAGCAGACTAAATTGAGATGTTTCATAAAATCTTCCCGTTCCTCTCTCCCTTCTCAGCGTGTAAAGAATGTTCTGCAAGAGCACGGTGGCTCAGGCCTGTAATTCTTGCGCTTCGGGAGACCGAAGGTCACTTAAACCCAGGAGTTGGGCAGCAGAGCCAGACTCCGTCTCTTTAAAAAAAAAAAAAAAAAAAAAAAACGGGCGCGGTGGCTCAAGCCTGTAATCCCAGCACTTTGGGAGGCCGAGACGGGCGGATCACGAGGTCAGGAGATCGAGACCATCCTGGCTAACACGGTGAAACCCCGTCTCTACTAAAAAATACAAAAAACTAACCCGACGAGGTGGCGGGCGCCTGTAGTCCCAGCTACCTGAGGCAGGAGAATGGCATAAACCCGGGAGGCGGAGCTTGCAGTGAGCCGAGATCCGGCCACTGCACTCCAGCCTGGGCGACAGAGCGAGACTCTGTCTCAAAAAAAAAAACTTAGACGGCCGTGGTGGCGCACGCCTGTAATCCCAGCTACTCGGGACGCTGAGGCGGGAGAATCACTTGAACCTGGGAGGTGGAGGTTGCAGTGGGCAGAGATCACACCACTTTAGCCTGAACAGAGCCAGACTCCGTCTCCCAAAAAAAAAAAAAAAGCTCAATCAATGGGCTGGGGTGGGTGGGGCAGAGAGGAACTGAAGGGACATATTACATTTAAACGCCACCGTTTCCGAGGGACGCAGATGTGCTTTGGTCCCCCACCTGCATCCCATTCAGTAAACAAAGGTGATACATATTAGTGTGCCTAACTATTGCCCACCAAAACATACAGCAGCACAAACCCATTTTTCTAAGACCTTGTGCCTGACTATTGCAGGAAGCTGGAGGATTAAAAACAGCTGGAGAATAGATGAGCTGATGTTTGGCTCCTAACCTCTAAAACAATGCCAACCCAGCCCCTTCCAGGAGTAATAGCTTGAAAACAATACACCAAACTTAGTTTTTAGCATTCCTGGCAATTCCATTATTAATTCATGGGTCTTCTTCATAAGGGAAGAAACCCCATTTTTGAGGTGAGGCACAGGCCCACGAGCGCAAAATGGCCTGGCCAAGCTGGAGCCAGGTGTGTGTGAGGGCCACTGTGAGGCCCTCTGCCCTGCTCACCCTCTACATCACAGTGCTTCTTCTGTAGGTGAACGTGTGGGTTTTCAGCCAGGGCGCTTCTTACTGAAGGGCCCAAGGGCCCCGGGAGAACACAGCTGACACGTTTTTTGAAAAGACTATGTAGCACTTTGGGAGGCCGAAGAAGGGATCACCTGAGGTCAGAAGTTCGAGACCAGCCTGGCCAACATGGTGAAACCCTGTCTCTACTACAAATACAAAAATTAGCCAGGTGTGGTGGCACATGCCTGGAATCCCAGCTGAAGCAATCCCTGTGAGGCTGAGGCAGAATTCCTTGACGCAGGGAGGCGGAGGTTGCAGTGAGCAGAGATCGCGTCACTGCACTCCAGCCTGAGCAACAGAGCAAGACTTCGTCTCAAAAAAAAAAAAAAAAAAAAAAAGAACAGAAAAAAGAACGTTCTTTTTGCATGATCGAAGTACCGGGGACAACTGCTAGCCAGGCCCTCAGGGACGCACAGAGCCCTGGCAGATTTGTCAGAAATTTCTGTAAACCGCACGCCGCGCACGCTCCAGGGTTGGTTGCAAGTGGCCCAAAGTCTTGGATCCCTGGTCCCGTTACACCGGGAGCCGGGCCACCTCGACGCGGGGACAGCGGCTTCGCTCCCTGCCCAGTGCCCGGGCACCTGAGCCGGGCCAGCCCCCAGCGCCCCGCAGAAGGGTTTGACGCACTTGCGGCGCCCTCGCGAGTGCCCGGTGACAGTCGCCAACTTTCGCGGAACAACACCCGCTCCAGATGTGAGGGGAGAGGTGGAAAAACGCCGCCCGCCTGGGCTGGGTTCACAGGGACCGGCCGCCTCCCGCCGCTCCTCCAGGCCGCGCTCGGGTGCACGGACCCCGCCTCCGCGGCGACCTCGGGCCCCGGGGAGGGAAGCGCGGTCTCCCGGGATATCGCCCTCGCGCAGCCGACCCAAAGGGCCGGCCCGCGAAACTTCGCGAAGAGGCGGGAGGGGGTCGCCCAGTCGCTCAGCGCCTTTGTCGCTCCCGCCTCGCCTCCGCACGGGGCTCGAGACGCCCAGCCCAGTCCTTTGGCCCGATCCCGCCCGGGCCTCGGCCCGCGCCCCTCAGCTCGGCGGCCCTCACGGCCCGCGCCCCCGCCCCCACCCCAGGAGCTCCACGGAGGCGTCCCGCAGAGAGGCCGCCTCGCCTCACAGACCCGCCCAGGAGCTCAAGCGCGCCCCGCGACCGACACTCACTCGCCACTCAACTCGCCGGCTAGCCAGGCGGGTTCGGCGGCCTTCGGTACCGCGCCGCTTACTCTTCAGAAGCCACAGCTGCGAGCTCCGTCGCTGCCGCTGAGGCAGCCGCTACACTCCTTCCGGTCCTGCCGCGGCGTCACCTCGCGCCTGCGCACAGCGCCCCCTCCCGACTAAGGACAGGAAGAACCATAGAGGCACTCCGGGTGCTGTGGAGGAGGGACCCGGGGGCTCACCACAGAGAGGGCCGCCTAGCCGCGCCTGCATCCGGGCTCTCCGCCTGCGGAGACTTGACTCCCCCACGAGGCGGAAGGATGAAAGCAACTGAGACCCCCATCCCGGACCCCACAGGAGCCGCCATCTCCCCAGAGCTTAAAAGGGTATGGGGTAGGTGGTTGTGGACGTTTACTCGATATCTACTTATTTGCCCTAATTCTTTTGGCAAGCCATTCATTCATTCTGCAGATATATTCTGTGGATTTCCTGTGGGCCACGCACTGTTCTAGGATTTGGGGAAATTAAGAGTAAAGTGGGTCCCGTGGCTGGGCACTGTGGCTCACGCCTGTAATCCCATCACTTTGGGAGGCCGAGGCGGGCGGATAACTTGAGGTCAGACGTTGGAGACTAGCCTGGCCAACGTGGTGAAACCCCGTCACTACCAAAAATAAAAAAAATAACCGGGTGTGGTGGCGGATGCCTGTAATCCTAGCTACGCAGGAGGCTGAGGCAGGAAAATCGCTTGAACCTGGGAGGCAGCGACTGTAGTGAGCCAAGATGGCGCCACTGCACTCCAGCCTGGGCAACAGAGCTACACTCCATCTCAGAGAAAAAAAAAAAAAAGTACAATGTGTTCCTGGCCTCAGGAAGTTTAGGTTTTAGTGGGCAAGTGAATAACTGACTAAAAAACTGCTCCTGCTGGGCACAGGGGCTCATGTCTATAATCCCAGCGCTTTAGGAGGCCAAGGCGGGAGCATCGCTTGAGGCCAGGAGCTCAAGACCAGCCTTGGCAACATAGCAAGAGCCTTACTCTTAAAATAATTGCTGGCCGGGCGCAGTGGCTCACGCCTGTAATCCCAGCACTTTGGGAGGCCGAGGCAGACAGATCACTTGAGGTCAGGAGTTCGAGACCGGTCTGGCCAACATGGTGAAACCCCGTCTCTACTAAAAATACAAAAATTAGCTGGGCATGGTGGTGCATGCCTGTAATCCCAGCTACTAGGGAGGCTGAGGCACAAGAATTGCTTGAACCCAGGAGGGGGAGGTTGCAGTGAGCCAAGATCATGCCACTGCACTCCAGGCTGGGCAACAGAGTGAGACTGTGTCTCAAAAACAAAAATCAAAAAACAAAAAACAATTGCAAAGTACACCTTCAAGTAGAGATGTCAAGTCAGTAATTAGATAAATATTTGAATCTGGGCTGGGCACAGTGGCTTATAACTGTAATCCCAACACTTTAGGAAGTGGAGGTGGGAGGATGGCTTGAAGCCAGGAGTTTGAGATCATCCTGGGCAATAGAGTGAGACCCCATCTTTACAAAAATAAAAATTAGCCAGACATGGTGATGTGCACCTGTAGTCCCAGCTACTCAGGAGGCTGAGGCAGGAGGATTGTTTGAGCCCAGGAGTCCGAGGCTGCGGTGAGCTATGATCGCACTATTGCAGTCTAGCCTGGATGACAGAACAACAGCCTGTCTCGAAAGAAACAAACAAAAACAAAACAGAAATGAGAGTAACAATAGTCTTGATGCGGCAATTAGTGTTCCTTCTCTAAGACAGTAGAGCGTGGTTTATGGGGGCTTGCATGGGACAGAAAAAGACCACTACTCACAGTGCTTTAGGGAAGCAGTGTCCTGAGGGAATAGTCATGTTTCAGTGAAGTAGAAATTGAAGGGCTGCTTACAGAACAGGATGGGGATTTAGGGATCTTACAGATGTCAGGCCCTGAGTTAGAGGGTGCAGTGCATGGGAGACGTTAGACGGTGAACAGGAGAGAGAGCTTAAGATAGACACTTACCTGAGATGAGATCCTGGAATAATCTGAAAGGCATCTAAAACAAGGGCATTGGCCTTGATGAGCTTATTCTCCATGCTGGTCCTCTTGGGGGAGGTGGATAATCGCTGTCAGTTACAGCCTCCTTCTTAGGACGGTCCTCATAAGCCCTTTGAGATGTTGGAAGAAGGCAGTATTGGAAGCAGAGCTTGGTGATCTTAGCAGGAGTGCAAGGTTCTTTCCAGACCCCTCAACCCCTCTGTGGTTGGTGTCACATCCACGGCAGGTAAGCTCGAGTAACCTCTCTGAGTCTGGAATTTTTTTTTTTTGAAACGATGTCTCGCTCTGTGGCCCAGGCTGGAGTGCAGTGGTGCAATCTTGGCTCACTCCAAGCTTTGCCTCCTGGGTTAATGCCATTCTCCTGCCTCAGCCTCCCGAGTAGCTGGGACTACAGGCACCCACCACCACACCAGGCTAATTTTTTTTTTGTATTTTTAGTAGAGACGGGGGTTTCACCAAGTTAGCCAGGATGGTCTCGATCTCCTGACCTTGTGATCCGCCCGCCTTGGCCTCCCAAAGTGCTGTGATTACAGGCGTGAGCCACCGCACCTGACCTGAGTCTGAAATTTTTTATTTGTTCAGGCTCTTTGGAGACTCTGACTCAGACATGATGGCAATGAGAAGAGATACTTTATTTTTATCTTTATGTATGTATGTATGTATGTATGTATGTATGTATTTATTTATTTATTTATTTTTGAGACGGGGTCTCCTTCCATCGCCCAGGCTGGAGTGCAGTGGCATCATCTTGACTCACTGCAACCTCTGCCTCCCAGGTTCAAGCGATTCTCCTGGCTCAGCCTCCCGAGTAGGTGGGACTACAGGCACCCACCACCACACCTGGCTAATTTTTAAAGTATTTTTTGTAGAGACGGGGTTTCACCATGTTGGCCAGGCTGGTCTTGAACTCCTCACGTCAGGTGATCCGCCTACCTCAGCCCAAAGTGATGGGATTACAGGTGTGAGCCACCATGCCAGGCCTTTATTTTGAAGTTTAATTTAAAAAAACATTAATAGATAGCCAGGTGTGGTGACACACGCCTGTAGTCCCAGCTACACAGGTGGCTGAGGCAGGAGAATCACTTTAACCCAGGAGGCACAGGTTGCAGTGAGCTGAGATCGCACCACTGCACCCCAGCCTGGGTAACACAGCAAGACTTCACCTCAAAAAAAAAAAAAAAAAAAAAAAAAAAATTTATAGAAACAGAGTCTCGCTTTGTTGCCCAGGCTGGTCTCGAACTCCTGGTTCCAAGTGATCCTTCCGTCTTGCTCTCCTAAAGTGGTGGGATGGCAGGTGTGAACTGCCACGTCTGGCTGGGAATTTTTTATTTGTAAAATGGAAATTTTAAGATATTATCTATTGCCCAGTGTTCTTGCAAGGATGAAATGGGATCATGTGTGAATTCAGAAGCTCTCGTAGGAGTTATTTGTTTACATGTTGTTCGTGTCTTAAGCATTTTCGGAGTCATAAAGACAATTATCCTATCTTTGCATATTTCCCAGTGAGGGCGAGAGGAAGCTATTCCCTCCTTCTAGGTTGTCTGGAATCATTCTAGTTATTTTTGAAGTCTCTGGCCTTTTTTTTTTTTTTTTTTTGGGGGGGATGGAGTTTCACTTGTCGCCCATGCTAGAGTGCAATGGCATGATCTTGGCTCACTGCAACCTCCGCCTCCCGGATTCAAGTGAGTCTCGTGTCTCAGCCTCCCAAGTAGCTGAGATTACAGGTGCCCACCACCACATCCGCCTAATTTTTGTATTTTCAGTAGAGGCAGGGTTTCACCATGTTGGCCAAGCTAGGCTCGGACTCCTAACCTCAGGTGATCTGCCTGCTTCGGCCTCCCAAAGTGTTGGCATTACAGGTGTGAGCCACTGTGCCTGGCCCTATTTTTTTTGGAGGGGGGGGTGGGTGGTGGGGTTGGGGTCTCACTCTGTCACCAAGGCTAGAGTGCAGGGACTCAATCAATCATTAGTTCATTGCAACCTTGACCTCCCAGGCTCAAGTGACTCTCCCACCCCAGCCTCCTGAGTAGCTGGAACTGCAGGTGTGTGCCACCATGCCTGGCTAATTAAAAAAATTTTTTGTATAGATGGGGTCTCGCTATGTTTCTCAATCTGGTCTCAAACTCCTGGTCTCAAGTGATTCCACTGCCTCAGCCTTCCAAAGTACTGAGATTATAGGCTTGAGCCACCGCACCTGGCCTGTTTTTGTTCATTTGTTAGTTTGTTTGAGACGGAGTTTCGCTCTTGTTGCCCAGGCTGGAGTGCAATGGCATGATCTCGGTTCACTGCAACCTCTGCCTCCCAGGTTCAAGTGATTCTCCTACCTCAGCCTCCCAAGTAGCTGGGATGACAGGCATGCGCCTCCACACCCAGCTAATTTTGTATTTTTCATAGAGACAGGGTTTCTCAGGGTTGGTCAGGCTGGTCTTAAACTCCTGACCTCAGGTGATCCACCCGCCTCAGCCTCCCAAAGTGCTGGGATAACAGGCATGAGCCACCGTGCCCGGCCTGTTTTCTTTATCTTAATGTTAACCGGCACCAAGAATCAGAAAGGGTAAGATAGCTACCTGCAGAGTAAACTATTGTCAACAAGTGATGTTTTGCTGTTTTCCTGGGAAGAAGCATGGAAGTTCCATCTATGAAAATCCATATGATCCATGCTGGCTGTAATTCCGTGCAGTTACGGCCAAAGGCATGCAACATGCACTCATCCCTTGAGCCTGCCAGAGAGCCAAGGCTGTAACTTCCCGCCCCATGAGTCATCACAGCATGGCTTCGTTGCATTTTCTGGTTACAGTTAGTTTAATGTGCATCTGACCTGTGAAATCATGGACGGTAATGGAGGACCGCTGTTATTCACAATTTGTCCATCATCATTTTGTTCCCAAGAACTGTCATCAGCCGTATCTACATGACAGTGTGCTGGTGTTGTCATAGAGGACATTATTCCTGAACTCTGCTTTCAGAAGCAGTAATTTCCTGCCATTTTGGCCCATTATTTGTTAAAAGAAAAAAAATCAATGTTATTGAGGTGTAATTTATATGTGGTACTAGGGACCCCGTTTAAGTATACGTTTCTATCAGTTTTGACACATTTATACACCCTCATAACCCCCCACAATCAAGATAGAGATCAATTCCATTACCCCAAACTGTT